ATGTAAGACTGCGTTCTGTCATCTGCACAGTATTGGTAAAATTAGAAACATTTAGTCTCAGAAAGATGTTGAAAACCAGTCCATACTTTTTTAGTATTCCAATTACTTATTATCAAATTGTTCTAAAAGATCCCTGAAGAGTCTTCAGTTGATCCAAAACACTAGTACTCAAAAAGGGACTCAAAAGAGAGATCATATTTTTCTATATTAGCTTCTCATCATTGGTTTCCTGTTAAATTCAAGATTGAATTAACAATCTTCTCACAAACAAAGTCTGGAATGATCAGACCCCATCACATCTTAGAGCACTTAAATCTCCAAGTGTGGGCGTATTTCAGTTTTGGAGTATTTGTAAGTTGGGTTACATTCTCCGAGAGGTTTATTTTGGGTTTTCTTGAACTTTTCAGTTCTTCTTAGGTTCTTAGTTATTTGTCATGTTTAGAGTGTAGTTCATTTAGCCTTCAGTTCTTAGTGATCATAGTTTCTCCCTCCCTCAGTGTCTAATCTTCTCCTGTGTTTAGTCAGTCCTGTCTCTGTGTTTATTCTTATCGCTCCAGTTTCTGTGTCATTCCCTGTTTCCTGTCAGGGAATCCTTCCTTGTGTTTCGACGGATTCCTTGTTAATTCCATGGCTTCCATGGAATTAATTTTCCCAGTTTAGTTTTCCACAGCCTGTTTTTCTTTTCTATTTTTGTTATCTGCTTCAGTACCTGTTCTTATCATCTGCTTTAATAAACTGTTATAGTTATAATTATAATTTGTTATAGTTTTGTCTCTCTGTGGTCTGCGTTTGGGTCCTCACAAAATCACATCTTCCTTGACATTACAAAGGTAAAATAGAAAGAGCCCTGGGGTATCAAACCCAGGTATCAAGCTGGTCTACACTCAGGCTGCTGGGGATTTGGGCTAGGAGATATGAGGAAAATAAAACATCTCTATATGCTTAAATAACCTCAAAAGCAAATCTTATTTTCAAAAATGTGATCACCTCAAATTACAGAAACAAAAGTCTAGATAGTGACTATAAAACGACTGACCAAGAACAGCCACAGGTATCACAGCTGGTTTGTTTTCTTGGGTGTGGGGAGACGTTGACATGCGGAGTTTAAAACAGCCTTTTTGTAGTGGATGACTTTTCAGCTGGTGGAATAAATTCATGGTACTACTGCCTTTTGCGGCAAAAGTTTTTACAGCATGTTCTGCAAATTACTGCATTTTGCTCGACCTCCTTGTGAAATCCAAACGACTGAAACTCCCACTGTTGGCATATTTTTCCCTATCAGGTAGTATGAAAACATGCATGCTCAGCGTGTGACTTTGATATTATCCCTAACACAGTTAATGCTTTGTCCTCTTTATTAATCATAGTCTCTATATGCTGTTCTTTTTTGTGTTTTGGTGCTCACCACACCAAGAAGAGCAAATCACTGCACCTGCACTGCAGTCTAGTTCTGCTGGAGGTCCTGTTAAAAAGAAGTTCTTCCTTTCACCATTACCAAGTGCTATTATAGGGGATCACCTGATCATTGGGAATTGATCTCAAATACTTAACCTTGGAACAGAAAAGAAAAAATACATTGAAAAAGTAAATCAAATGGCATGCATTTCTTCAAGACTAACTGTAACTGTTAACAGCAAACACATGCAGATGTTGACAGTTATTTTTATCAGTTTATTCCTTTTGCAGGAGACAATCTTGCACTTGAAGGAAAAGCCACACAGTCATCCTTGTATGGATTTGGATTTGCATACAATGCCATCGATGGAAATCGTAACAGCAAGTGGGAAGAGGGCTCCTGCACTCACACAAACAACAACATCAGCCCTTGGTGGCGACTTAATTTGCGCAAAACCCATAAAGTGTTTTCTGTTAAAATTGTCAACATTGACTCCAACCCCGAACGGCTCAACGGAGCTGAGATTCGCATTGGAGATTCCCTTGACAACAATGGCAACAACAACCCCAGGTAGTTTAAAGACTGTTGACTTTTGAAGTCTGTTAAAATCTGTAAAAACACCTGGCAAGTTGCTCCCAGTACCGATGCCAGTTTCACAGACTTTGTGGAAACAACAGAAAAGCCGTTCAGTCTCACAAATGGCAGAAATTCCTTTTATAATATAATTTTAATTGCCAT